GCACTTCAGCAAAGTGCAACAGAAAAAGAGTGACTGGGAAACTCGCACTCAGGTAAGTGCCATAACTCAGGTCGGTTTAGTTGCTGAAACATTTTTTAGTTTTTAATATTAAACTGGCCATGTCTAGAATTCCATCCAACCGTTGTCTACTCACTTTATCCAACTCAGGGTTGCAGGGGAGACGGAGCCTATCCCAGGAAGCCTATGCTTAAAGAGAGTGGAGCTAACTTTTCTCCTGGAGCTGAACTCCAGGAACCTGCCCGTCTGATTGATAGTCCAGATCAGTGCAGGTACTGCATTCACCTGAGCAGTCAGCGTAGTCCCAGCCCTCTGCACAGGAGCAGCTGCAGAGCTCCTCGTTGAGAACCCCGCAGTTCTTGCACTGCAGGGGACAGCCTGCAGCACACAGCAACAGCACAACTGAGATGCACACAGACACACACAGTATCCAAGGCAAGGCTGATCACTAATTCGTAATGACAGGTTAGGTGGCAGTGGAGTTCTGTTTCCTCTCCTTTCCCAGACCCCCTGGAGCTATTTTAATGCTCAGTCTCAGGGTGCAGCCCCCTGCTCTGCATGAAGAAGGTACAGTAGCTGGGCACCCTGGCTCTGCCTACCCAAGAGGCTCTTGTGCCTCTCCACCGGAAACCCAGTATTTTAAGCACAGATGGCATGAAGAGATAAATGAGATGTCCTGTGTGAACTGTCAAATAAGAAGATCTATACAAAAATCTGTTCTCACTGTTAAATGAATTAGTTTGTTTCAGGTGCCAACGCAATGTCTGTTTACAATGCAATGTGATGCACAGGAGTCACATATATGCACTGTCTGTATAAAAACAAACCTGCATAGTCTCTTTAGAATCCTTAATCTACGTGCCATTCACGACTGCTAGTATCAGGTTTCAGCAAACGAAACGAGATTGTGAGTGACTGAAGTGAGGGCAATGTGTTTTAAGAAAAGTGTGAAGATGCCATGAACATCTGCTTTACTCAAAAAGACATGTTTGTCACAGAACAAATGTTTGCATGATCATGCTCCCACACACATTCTGTCACCAGTATAACATGTTCACTGTGTGCAATAAATCTCCTTGTTTACTAAGGCCGCTGCACTGAAACTGAAACACTCTTACCACAGTCTCCACGGGGACAGACAACTGTAATAGAAAAGCAGAATACAGTATTAAAGTCCACTAAAGATCACAAACACGTTTGGGTTTTGAAATTCATTATCTATTCAAGAAAACTCGGGGTCTTACTGCACAGCCCATCTTCACACCAGCCCTGGCCTGAGTCACACCTTGAGCAGGGCGGTCCTCTCAGGTAAGGCACCCAGGGCTCCAGTCCACTGTTCCCACTGCAGTTACAAGACACACACTGCCCTGGTCAGCCTCCAGCCAAAGGTCAAAGTGACCAGTACTCAGTGGCAGTCAGTTTGATTATTCAGCCTTAGAATGAGTTCTGCCCACAAAAACATGACCACCCAGAATCACCCAGTTTATGAACAGAAGACATAGGTACAGAAAATGCAGGACTGACCAAATGTTCTACAAATAAACCGCACTGGAACACCTAGATAAACACAGCTGACCAGGATGAAAGACAAATCTGAAGCAATTCTCACCTGGGTGCGTAATTACAGACCACATAGGTAAACCTTCCAGGGCACTGAGAGCCATTCACATATCCGCAGCCCACATACTGCGTTCCTGCCCAGGCGAGCTGCAAAACAGACCAGCGTGACTGAGCAGCGGGCCCCGAGGTGGACAACCGCACGCAGCCATGTGGAGGAAGAAGGAATCTGTGGTATTGTCTTCCCGCTTAATTATCTCCCGGACGGAGGTGAATGACAGCCGTCTATCGGACTCTGATTCGTCTTTGGTTCGGCTCGCGAACTCTGCGCGCTGGGGCCGGAGGAGTCCCTGATGCTCGAACGCCATCAGGGGCGTCTCTCCTGGCTTGTTTAAAAATAGACACGACATTACTCATCCTCAGTGAGCCATCATTTCCACCCACCCTGGGGTCCATTACAGAGGTCGCTTAACGATTACCATCTTAATGACAGCGACACCCGCGGCTTTGTGAAATGACACCCACAGTCTCAGCAGGGGCACACATTATGACAGGTCTTAATAGTGACACACAAGTATTCAATGGGAATGTGATGGACCTTTTAGTTTTTACCAAGAACACATCTCGAAGTCCTAAGGAGTAATGAAAAGAAGACCAAAACTGATATTATACCATTGACAAAGTATTCAATCCACAAGCCAATGTCAGAGCTCAACTGCAGTTCGGAAAAGATAACAATTAAAACAGTCAATACAATGACAAACTAATCTATGACAAAGTGAGCTGAAACTGACTGGATTTCTCTGTAGGAGCAGAAGTGACTGTTTTAAAAGGTGATCTTAATTCAGCGGCATCTCAAGATCTCTGTACCAGGGTTAAATTAGATCACATAAGCTTTAATTGGATCAATTTGTGGATTGCCTTAAATTTCTTAAGCTGCTAAGGACTTCAAGAGAGGTGCAGTATACATCCTGCTGGATTGCAGACCTTGAGGACCTTTTAAGTAAACAGATGTCTCAGATTAGAACAGGCTTGTTAAAATCTTCCCTCTGGGCACTTCCTCACCTTACTAGATCACCACAGCTCCTTTTCCTGCCTTGCCTTTCTCCGTAAAACAGGGAATGTTTTGGGATTTTGTTCTTATTCACACACACCGGCAGCGTACACTGACGTCACTTCTCAGTAGCTTGGTTTTATTTCAGGAACCTAACCTTTGGTCCCGCGATCAATGCATCTACAGTATCTGGCAGAGACCTGTTATGATATAAATAGAGGGGGAAAAACGAATCTGAAGATTTGTTCTTTCAATTGCAAAGCAGCTCCGAAGCAGTGTCTCCAGGGACACCTTTACTGCGCCTTGTGTGAGGGAGTACCTGAGTGTAGTGTCCACAGACAGGGCCCGAGCAGCGGCTCTCCTCGTAGTCGTACCCCTGCTCCTCCTCC